AGAAGAGGAAGTGGTCGAAGATGTCGAATGACTTGACTCTGGAGCAGCCGCCATATTTAACTTGCCTAAACTTGCCCGTCAGATGAAAATCAAATTTCCGTAGATCACGTGATTGCAAACAAAGAATACAGTTCATATTCATTTAGATGCCTTGCGAACCTAAATGTTGTTCGATCGCGAAATTCAGAAGCACATCGTTCTTTAAAAAGTATAGAAGTTCAATTGCTCAAAAATGTAAATAAACCGCCAGATACATTCACTTTGTCTTACACTTTGCCTTTGGAATTCGTGCTTATATAGTTATATTAATAAATTTTCAATCCTGTGCAAACTGCGTTGTGCAAATTGCCGTATCATGCGAACGAAATCGAATTGCGCATCGGAAAATTAGCCAAAGCTGTGCACCACAACTCTTGGGAGACAAGACTGGGACAGATAAATCCCATCACATACACATTTCAAATACTAGTATATTTTGCGCCATTACAGACTTGCGACGACGAAAAGTAACAAAAAAAAATACTGAAAAAAACAAAACCGAGGCGAATTTTCAACTCCGTCGCTGACGCCAGAGTAATTAGACTTTTCCTAGGTGAATCTTTAATTTTATGCATAATTAGCAGTTGACCTGGAATGGTAAACATTCATTTTCTTGTTAAATATGAAACTTAGGCTAATTTCACCCTCCAGTGACCACCCCTAAAAGCAATCATTCTGAACCATATAAACAATTCAGAAAGACTGTAGCTTAAATATAATTCAGGATTTGTGGCTATGTCGAATATGCCATTTCTGGGTGTGGTCATTTTCAGGACTTTCATCCTGGATTCAGATTTTGGCACATATGCCATGTACTTGACCGCCATGGTCATTTTACCCTAAAACAGTTGAGATAATCTGTCCTAAATGAAATGCATACCGCAAACTCATTTACGGAAGTAAAATACAGTATGAGAAAGTGTATAAAATGTCCCAGACATTTTGCTTCCGATCAGGAAAAACGCAAACAAAACACAAAGAACAAAGTCTAAAAATGAGCAATATTGTCAATATTCAGAGGAATGCTCCAGTAATTTGCAAAAAAGCCATCCCTAAATTTAATAGCATCTTTATTATCCTAAAAAAGAGAGATCAGACCAAGTTTAACTGTACTCAATACACCCAGAGGACAGAGCCAGTCAGCCAGAGGGGAGTGAAAACCATTGCAAATTAACAAGCTTGAATCAAGCTTGTAGAATGTAGCTTGATCAACAAGGTGCAAGATGCCAAGAAGTCTATTAATCTATGATTATTGACTTTGCATTTGACAAGGCAAACAAGATAACATACTAGACTTTTAACAACCACTGTTGAAAATCTAACAGTAAAATATTTTGTATCAGCACTCAACACAGTCATGTCAGTCATCATGTTTAATGTTTTAAATTAATCTAAAATAGACTAGAAAGGATCAATAGAGAGACTAGTATAGATTCACTGGGAGGATTGAATATTGATTCATCGTAATTGTTTGACTGAAAATACTCTGAATTGGCATTAAATATCAGTGAAAGCTCCAGTGCATGACATTTTCAAATCCCATAAGAGTTCTATTGAAAAAACAGCATAACCAAAACTCAAAAGATCAGTTATTGATTCTTTTTCATGAAATATAGTTTTTCATAGCGTAACTAAGTCATGTCAAAAGTAAAATCTATATTTGATATATATCACTGTACAGAGGTCGATCAACTATACAGGGTGTATAAAAAAAAATTCGAATCGAAGTTTTGCGTGTAATAATGCAAAATATATTTGACGCAAATTTGGTTGATTTTTACGCTATTGTTAAGTTCATTCATTTCTCTTTCAAATGACACGTTGTACGTGTAATTTAGTGTACAGACTGTACTGTGTGTATAAAAAATTCGAATCCAAATTTTGACAACCTGCTGTGTATAAATACTAAAGAAAACGATATAATTTTTATATGGCTTATGGCAACAAAGATTAGCCCGTTCTTATATCGACACGACCAAAACTGGCCGAGTTATCGTCTTTTAAAAATTGTTGCTCGAAATCAAATTTTTCCGCCGATGGGAATTCGAAATAAGACCTCCAGACAAAAGAAAATGCAAATTTAATTAATGAAGGCATTGTGTTCTTCAAACTTCTATCGTTGAACATTGAATAAGCAAAATTTTTGCGATAAATTTGCGTTTTAGTTTACAGTAATGATTAGATTTTAAACCACTTTGGGACTAATTTTCAATAAAACAAACGTCCAGTTCCCATCGGCGGAAAAATTGTGATTTTCATGAACTTTTTTGTCGAACCAGTACTTCTTCATTTTTCAACTAAATTACACGTACAACGTGTCATTTGAAAGAGAAATAAATGAACTTAACAAAGGGGTAAAAATCAACCAAATTTGTCATATATATTTTGCATTATTACACGCAAAATTTCGATTCGAATTTTTTTGATACACCCTGTATTTCAAAAGAAAGCAAATAATCGATCGCGCCAGTCATTTGCACTAAATGGCAATTACCCTTAACGACCTTAACTGTCATCATGCATAAATTTATTCAGATCTATTTACATATACAGTATAAAAATAATATTTTGATCTACCACATAATACTATTTTATAACAGTTTTACTGTATCTCAGTATACGAATCGGTACATACATACATAAGAATCAGACCCCTAACTAGGTGCTAAATAATTTGGGGAGCAATTTTAAAATATATTCATCTTGTGCCCGACTGATTTTTTTTGAAAGCGATTGTTTTTAAAGTATCGGAATGTGAATTTATGAATATACACCCTTAATATCACAAGAATATAATATTAAATTCCTTAATGGCTTGCGTTGCAAGTTCCAAAACAGATTGTGTTGTCGAACACGGTCACCCCTAGTTTGCAACTTTCGATCCAATTAATAGTTGCATTGCAAATTGTATGAAAGTTAACTGTAGCGTCTGACACCCCCAACTGCAACTAGTCTCGTAATAGTTGAAAAATTAGGCAAAAGCAGTTTAACACTACAGACTAGCTTGCGAACAGGATGAACTTTTGCGGACGAATAAAATAATTTCAGTTTGCGCAACCGAGTTGCACCCTTCTGACATGTAATTGCAACTTAATTGCAATATTTTTGTTTTAAACAAATTGCATTGGCCTTAGTTTAAACAGTCTGAAGGAATAGAGCGAAGGAATCATTTTCGGGCGTGACTAACTCACCGTCTCATGTAGACAGACCCTAAGGGGCAAGGGCTGATTTCATGCATGCTGGCGCAGTTACTATAGCTGGTAATTTGGCGCCCCCTGGATCGCACATTACCGCTGGTAATTTGTATTTATCGCTTCCCTTCATATCTAAAAGATACCTTGTCATGACGAGCTCTGTTTTCTGTGTTCTAGATCTCGTACAAAAACAACTCAGACACAGAGTTGGAATAATTTTGGCAATGTGCGTAATTGTCTAACGCACATGCCGATTTATTAATTTTTACTTAACAACAAATTAATTATTAATCAACAAACAATAAATTCAATTACTAAACAATTTGCACAGAAAAGGTGGGGCTAATTTAAACGCCCTACCGAATATACTAATATACCTTTACATTAAGCTCGCGTGAGAAAACGGGGAGGAGGGCGGGTTCAAATTTGATCTGTAATGACCTTGTCGAAGCGAGGAGCAGAATGAATTGGCAGCACATTCTGCTCTTTATCTATACTGACCCTCATCTCCGCTTTCCCACACGTTACCTATATGTCATCAGAATTCCAGGGAAATTACCTGCGCGTCAAACTAAAGTATTTAATCTACTTTATTATAAAGTCTCAAGTGCAGGAAGCAATAAATTCTTTATTGGTATGCCAATAATTCCTTTATCGCTTCCCTTCATATCTAAAAGATACCTTGTCATGACGAGCTCTGTTTTCTGTGTTCTAGATCTCGTACAAAAACAACTCAGACACAGAGTTGGAATAATTTTGGCAATGTGCGTAATTGTCTAACGCACATGCCGATTTATTAATTTTTACTTAACAACAAATTAATTATTAATCAACAAACAATAAATTCAATTACTAAACAATTTGCACAGAAAAGGTGGGGCTAATTTAAACGCCACAAGGCTCCTTGGGTAAAGGAGACAAACCCCACCCCGTCATGACAAGGTATCCACAGACAGACTTGTAAAATCAGCAAAACAAATAATATATAAAACATGCATATAAGAAACCCACATATAAGAATCGCAGCAAGGAAAAGGTACAGATCTCCAACCAGTCGTGCCCCTGCATTGACCGGCCGAGTATCTGCAACCTGAGTCGCCAATATGAAAATAGTGATATGAGGTAGAGGAGCGCTAGCTTTACCCCTGTATCAGCATTGCGCCCGATTACCAATGAGTCTCATCGTAGTTATCGTAGTTGCAACGAATATGGGATATAACGAAATAAGTACGAACTAAGAGGTGTGCAGCCAAGGTCAACCCCCGCCAGGCACGGCAATAAATTACTCATGTCGACATATGATGCGAAATAGGTCGCGAAGATAAGTTTGGACTACGAATGTACTTGCGGAATGCGTCGGATTTCCACCTACCCATTACTCTGATTTGAGCGTCAGAAAAACCGCATTCCGCAGCGAAAGTAGCTGCACCAATTCGAAAACTGTGCCCCTTATACTTAGTAGGGTCAAGACCACATGCACGAAAAATCAAGCCAAATGCTCAGTAAATAGTTTGCGTGTTACTGCGCGCCCATCGAGAGTGCGAAAAAGTGGGCCATCGGATAAACCGCGACGCGCAAAATAGTCGAGTAATGTCTGCACAGGGCAAATATCGGAACGGCGGTGAAGTGTAAGAGAAACACGAGGTTGATTGTAGGAATGTTTAAAGTTCGCAAAATTGATTTTCAAACCGGAAATATTGCCCAAATTATCAACAAGCTGAACCACTTGAGATAATTGAAGCACGCCGGGAGACCGTGGGCAAGTCGTTATTTCACCAACCCGCAAAAGGCAAAAAAGGCTGTCGTACACATTGCCCTAAATAAAAGTGCGCGATATTCACTAGATGCAACGAGAGAAGTCTGTTGTAAAATTGTGCGGAGGATAGAAATAGTGATTGGAAGGCGTGCATCAACACCGGAGCCAAGCTTACCATATCCTTTCAACATTTCGAGAACCCAAAATACCTTTGTAGGGTCATGCACGCCCGTTAAACGGTGACAATAACCTAATGCAGAAACATATGTATTCGCGGTCGAGGCTGCATAATTGCGCTGAAACATGAATGCGATAAATAAACCCAAGTCTGAAGGCGATATGGGCAGTTTGACTGAAGCAGATTGAAAAACTGCAGAAGAAAACTGATTGTAGAGTTTCCATGCCCTGCGATAGGTAGGGATTGACGAAGGCTGCAAACTAGATTGAATTAACCGCGAGGTAATAGCGGCCAATTGTGTGGGAGAAGGTGAGGCGGTATGACTGTCGGTGTTGGCCGAACGCCCACCGGAGCTAGCCGTTTGAACTTCGAAACCTGCAAGCGAGATAAGGAGTCAGCCAAAACATTTGTAACCCCCGCTACATGGCGAGCGCGAAAGAGAATATTAAATTGCAAACAAGCCAGCACCAGGCGTCGAACAAACACCATAACAGTCACATCACGAGAAGTAGCCTTATTTATAATATCAACCAATGCCGCATTATCGGTGAAAAAAGTTATACGCTGGTTACGCATCTGGTCTCCCCACAGAAGAACGCTTAATACGATTGGGTAGAATTCCAAAATGGTTATGTTAAAAGTTTTCCAATTGTCGGGCCAGGCACCGTAACACCACTCAAAACCAAAAAGCGCGCCATGCCTCCATGGGGAATTTAGTTGTGTACACCCCGACAAAAATTTGAAACGCTGAAGTCCATGCCTCGATATTAGGGATGGACTTCACTTTGTGTGTTGGTTCCAAAGATAAAAGCGGAACATTGGAGCCTTCTTGAGGCCCCACCGACAGCTGATAACGAGTATCACAAGCCCCAGAACCAAGCAATAGGCTGAAATCTAAAAATTCATTGGCCCAAATTTTCGACTTCAATTTGGCACTAACGTTTGCTCCGATAGGCAAACTGATGGAATTAAATTTGGAGCTTGGCGTTGGGGACCGCGATACCGGCACTAAGTTAGGCTCACCTGATATATTGAGTAAAGCAGACGCCACCGGCCCCTGCATCGTGGCGTCTGCCGTACCCAACACACCCGAAGCAACCACTGGCAATTCACGCGTCTCCGTCGAGAACTCGGGCGGTGTAGATGGGATGGTGTGTGACTGGAGGTTGGCCATGACCGCCTGCGTTGTTTCCGAAATTATTCGGGCAAGAGTAGCTTCTGAGAGGGTAAAATGGTTGGTAGACCCCGCAGAGGTGTTGTCTGTTGTTGGTGCAGTAGTTGGCGCGGACAATGACTGCGGCAAGGTATTCACCGATGTACTGGGAGCCGTGAGTGGACCGGAGCGGGACGATCGTCGCGGACGGCCGGGTCGGGTTGGTTGCGTTCGCCTTTTCACTCGTTTACTCGCTCTGGTAGTGGTAGCAGGCATAATTCCGTATAGCAAGAACTAAGGAATAAACAAAGAGCAGAGCAAGAGCGAAACGAATGTCTGTGGTGATACGTAAAATACTATATACCAGAGACACGCCACGCACAATACAATTGAAAAATATGTATGTGCGATCCTCTTAAGGCGGATTTCCACTTACAGCGAAATCGTTCGCTAGCGAAATATTTGCATATTTTCTTTTGAATTTTAACAGCATAAATCAATTAGTTCGACTTGACTGTTCCGAATTCAAAAGAAAATATGCAAATATTTCGCTAGCGAACGATTTCGCTGTAAGTGGAAATCCGCCTTTAGAAGCATGATGCGCGTGAGGTCTGGGCCATGCGCTTAAAAATTTAGGAATCCCTTGTTCCTGCAAAGCCATTTTGTGCGTTTTGATAAGCGATTTGACAAAGAAACTGATCAATAAGCTGCAAATGCATCGAGTGGTAAAGGAAATGGATAAATTATTTCGATATATTAAATAGTAAGATGGTGAACGCGTGAATGAGATTATGTTGCGAAAACCAATTGGGAAAATTAGTAACTTTTTGCCAGACCGGTTTACCCTCGGGATATCATGTGCCTCATATACTTGAATTTTAGAAATTATTTCTCTCAGCAAGGCTAGCCCAGGAAAGCAGGCTAGCCTGTTCCATGTAATCTGCCTCTAAGAGATAACTGCTGGTTTTCGTGAAAATCTATTTCCGTTTGTGACGAAACAGTAATTGGACATATTGGAATATGCAATAGTTGTTTTTGGACCTCTGTAGTTTCAATTTCCAGTATATTACCCAGTAATTTGGTATTTCTACCCAGTATTTCGTTGCTCTGCAGTAAGGTTGTGTTATTAGGCGCACATATAGAGAGTAAATAAAGCGAATTCAACGTTTCGAAAAATGCCTAAATTGTCCACACTTAACCAAAAATTTAATGTTAAACAATACCTATCACCTTTTGCCAGAAGCGCAACAGGTTCTAACCCAGAGATATCATCCAACTACTTTTTTCCTGCCTCAATAGGCTGCACTAGTCCATCCCAATGGCGAATCAATATTACTTTGTGTTTTTGTTCGCAAATTACTCAGAAAATTAGAAAGTTAGTGAAAATCTGTAACAGAATTTTGGAACTATTGATAAATTCTTTTAAATGAGAATTAAAAGAGAAATTTTTATTACCATTTTCCTGTAAGTAAATTTTACCGAGCACCTAAAGCTACATATTGGTTACTTTAAAAGTATTGAAAACTTCTCCATTTTCGATGTTCCAAGTTTTTATGGTCTTAATAACAAAGGTAGAATGTATATAAAACCAAACATTTTGCACAGTAGGGTTAAGCTTCGTTGAAGTATTAAGTCGTTGCTTAATTATGGGGCAAAGACGTATAGATTTTCTAAGTGCCGAAATTTTCGCCCCCAATGTCTACATTTAACTTCCCAGAGTAAAGGGTTAAAAACTGAAAAAAAATGAGAAAAAATGTAGACAGTTGTTGCACGCAATTGGTTTATCTTACCATTCTCCATTTTAATGGCTTTGTTCTTTTGGTATTATTCTAATTTATGCTAAAACTTTTACAGTATTTTCCCCAAGTAAATTTTCGCAAGGTTATGTAACTTCTAGCATTGATTGTATCTCAAAAACTGTTGAATATCACGGTGTCGATGAAATTTGCCGAGAATATTCTCTAGATAAAGAATATAGACGTCTGTAGACGTATCACAGAGTAATAACTACACTCCGTGAAAGACTTGTCAGACTCTTCTTTAAACTCGAACTTTCAACTTTCAAAAATATGGTGGTTGCAATAAACTTTCAGAAAGAGAAGAAAAAATCGTTTATTTTCCATTTTGAAAGCATAGATTATTTACATAGACTGCGCATGTGCAGGTACTAGCTAAGAACATGGCGGCTGACAAAAACACCTTACGGTTTTTTCGGGAAATTACCTCTCTGTATGCAAGTTAATACTCTGTAGCTAGCGTAGTATTATTTCATAACTTTGATATACCTTCAACAATTATATAACACTGTTAAGGTGGTCTAGTACAAAAAAATAATTTTTGAATAATTGTCGTTATTATATTACGACGGGTGTCACAAACAAGGTTAATGGATACCTATAATAGATCATTCTCTGTCGTTCTATCTCTAAAATACACATCCAAAGCCATGGGGCATTCATGGTTTACTTTGTTAATAGATACATGAAGAAAAGACACCATGAAACTATTCTGGTTGGGAGAAAAAAAGGTTTACGACATAGTTCATTATTATGAAACTTTTGAAATATAACCTGCATGTAATCTGCAGGTAACAAACTACTAAGGTGGTTTAGGGCAAAATTTTGCGCTACTTTTCATTTTCTGTAAAACGATATAAGTTACATAATTTTATGGTGTCCTTAATAACATGCCTGCACTTTCAAACACAAAAATATGCCTTCAACAAAGCATCTTTCGTATGTTTTCCATGTCTCTGGGTAAAACCATGGCTTTGCGAATCGTTGGTTCTATTGAGTATTGTTCTTCCTTTCAATTGCATTTTGTTGTATTGTATTGTTCTAATTAAATAAGTCATTATAATGATGCAAAAATTTAACGTTGTTTTTCTCAGATACGCGACTTCAACTTCGGGACATTTTTACAACGCCAATACTTCATGCTTTCGTCTAAAATTTTTAGAGTGTGTCTGTGAATAGGAGAGCTAAACAAAAGACTAAAAGAAACTTACCCAGCGACAAACCTCTTTCAGCCACGTCGTCGTCTTGAAGATGTTTATTTCCCCTCAAGCATTCAATTATTAAAGTAAGCATTCTTTACTGAATTTCCCGTTTAGTCAAACAGGTAATCAAAAACATTTTTTATCCTAAAAATAATTTGTCATTCAACGACAATGCAACCAGGTCAAAAGTAACTTTCTCGCTAGGAGATTTAGCAAGAAATATTTTTAGCAACGTATTTTTTTGAAAAGTTCACATGCCGTCGAATCAAGTAAAAATAATTTCTCTTTCAGCGACAAAGCAGTCAAGCCCGAAATATTCGTCAAGGTGTTTATTTCTACTCAACCATTCGATTATTGAAATAAGCATTCTTTACTGAATTTCCTGTTTAATCAAACAAGTAATCAAAACCAGCCCGATATGGGACTCGAACCAATGGCCATCAGATTAAGAGTCTGATGCTCTAACAACTGAGCTAACCGGGCAGCTAGTGCTTTTTTGGGAAATTAACCAATCAATATTTTTTATCCTAAAAAAAATTTTTCATTCAACGACAATGCAAGTAGGTCGAAAGTAACTTTTTCGTTAGGAGATTTAGCAAAAAATATTTTTAGCAACGTATTTTTTTGAAAATTGCACATGCCTTCTAATCTCCTAAAAAAAATTTCTCTTTTAGCGACAAAGCTGTCAAGTCTTATACATTTGTCAAAGTGTTTATTTCTGCTCACCATTCAATTATTCAAATAAGCATTCTTTACTGAATTTCCAGTTTAATATACAGGTAATCAAAACCAGCCCGATATGGGACTCGAACCCATGGCCCTCAGATTAAAAGTCTGATGCTCTACCAACTGAGCTAACCGGGCACCTATGCAAGCGTTGTGAAATTAACGAATCAATGTTTTTTATCCTATGAATAATTTTTGATTCAACGACAATGGAAGCAGGTCGAAAGTAACCTTCTCGTTAGGAGATTGATTAAAAAATATTTTTACGAACGTATTTTTTTGAAAATTTCACATGCCTTCTAATCTCCTAAAAATAATTTATCTTTCAGCGACAAAGCTGTCAAGTCCGATATATTTTTCAAAGTGTTTATTTCTGCTCACGCCTTCAATTATTGAAGTAAGTATTCTTTACTGAATTTCCCGTTTAATCAAACAGGTAACCAAAACAAGCCCGATATGGGACTCGAACCCATGGCCCTCAGATTAAAAGTCTGATGCTCTACCAACTGAGCTAACCGGGCAGCTAGGCTTTCGTTGGGAAATTAACCAATCAATATTTTTATCCTAAAAATAATTTTTGATTCAACGACAATGGAAGCAGGTCAAAAGTAACTTTCTCGTTAGGAGATTCAGCAAAAAAATTTTTAGCAACTTTTTTATTGAAAATTGCACATGCCTTCTAATCTCCTAAAAATAATTTCTCTTTCAGTGACAAAACTGTCAAGTCTATATATTTGTCAAAGTGTTTATTTATGATCACTATTCAATTATTCAAATAAGCATTCTTTACTGAATTTCCAGTTTAATATACAGGTAATCAAAACCAAGCCCGATATGGGACTCGAACCCATGGCCCTCAGATTAAAAGTCTGATGCTCTACCAACTGAGCTAACCGGGCACCTATGCAAGTGTTGTGAAATTAACCAATCAATGTTTTTATCCTATGAATAATTTTTGATTCAACGACAATGGAAGCAGGTCGAAAGTAACTTCTCGTTAGGAGATTGATTAAAAAATATTTTACGAACGTATTTTTTGAAAATTGCACATGCCTTCTAATCTCTAAAAATAATTTATCTTTCAGCGACAAAGCTGTCAAGTCCGATATATTTTCAAAGTGTTTATTTTGCTCACTATTCAATTATTGAAATAAGTATTCTTTACTGAATTTCCAGTTTAATCAAACAGGTAACCAAAACAGCCCGATATGGGACTCGAACCCATGGCCCTCAGATTAAAAGTCTGATGCTCTACCAACTGAGCTAACCGGGCAGCTAGTGCTTTCGTTGGAAATTAACCGATCAAATTTTTTTATCCTAAAATAATTTTTGATTCAACGACAATGGAAGCAGGTCGAAAGTAACTTTCTCGTTAGGAGATTCAGCAAAAAAAATTTTTAGCAACGTATTTTTTTGAAAATTGCACATGCCTTCTAATCTCCTAAAAATAATTTCTCTTTCAGCGACAAAACTGTCAAGTCTTATATATTTTCAAAGTGTTTATTTGCTCACTATTCAATTATTCAAAAAGTTCTTTACTGAATTTCCAGTTTAATATACAGGTAATCAAAACAGCCCGATATGGGACTCGAACCCATGGCCCTCAGATTAAAAGTCTGATGCTCTACCAACTGAGCTAACCGGGCAGCTAGCAAGCTTTGTTGAAATTAACCAATCAATGTTTTTTCCTAAATAATTTTTGATTCAACGACAATGGAAGCAGGTCGAAAGTAACTTCTCGTTAGGAGATTGATTAAAAAATTTTTACGAACGTATTTTTTTGAAAATTTCACATGCCTTCTAATCTCTTAAAAATAATTTATCTTTCAGCGACAAACTGTCAAGTCCGATATATTTTTCAAAGTGTTTATTTCTGCTCACACATTCAATTATTGAAGTAAGTATTCTTTACTGAATTTCCCGTTTAATCAAACAGGTAACCAAAACAGCCCGATATGGGACTCGAACCCATGGCCCTCAGATTAAAAGTCTGATGCTCTACCAACTGAGCTAACCGGGCACCTATGCAAGTGTTGTGAAATTAACGAATCAATGTTTTTTATCCTATGAATAATTTTTGATTCAACGACAATGGAAGCAGGTCGAAAGTAACCTTCTCGTTAGGAGATTGAAAAAAATATTTTTACGAACGTATTTTTTTGAAAATTTCACATGCCTTCTAATCTCTTAAAAATAATTTATCTTTCAGCGACAAAGCTGTCAAGTCCGATATGTTTTTCAAAGTGTTTATTTGCTCACGCATTCAATTATTGAAGTAAGTATTCTTTACTGAATTTCCCGTTTAATCAAACAGGTAATCAAAACAAGCCCGATATGGGACTCGAACCCATGGCCCTCAGATTAAAAGTCTGATGCTCTACCAACTGAGCTAACCGGGCAGCTAATGCTTTCGTTGGGAAATTAACCAATCAATATTTTTTATCCTAAAAATAATTTTTGATTCAACGACAATGGAAGCAGGTCGAAAGTAACTTTCTCGTTAGGAGATTCAGCAAAAAAAATTTTTAGCAACTTTTTTTTATTGAAAATTGCACATGCCTTCTAATCTCCTAAAAATAATTTCTCTTTCAGTGACAAAACTGTCAAGTCTTATATATTTGTCAAAGTGTTTATTTATGATCACTATTCAAGTTTTCAAATAAGCATTCTTTACCGAATTTCCAGTTTAATATACAGGTAATCAAAACCAGCCCGATATGGGACTCGAACCCATGGCCCTCAGATTAAAAGTCTGATGCTCTACCAACTGAGCTAACCGGGCACCTATGCAAGTGTTGTGAAATTAACGAATCAATGTTTTTTATTCTATGAATAATTTTTGATTCAACGACAATGGAAGCAGGTCGAAAGTAACCTTCTCGTTAGGAGATTGATTAAAAAATATTTTTACGAACGTATTTTTTTGAAAATTTCACATGCCTTCTAATCTCTTAAAAATAATTTATCTTTCAGCGACAAAGCTGTCAAGTCCGATATGTTTTTCAAAGTGTTTATTTCTGCTCACGCATTCAATTATTGAAGTAAGTATTCTTTACTGAATTTCCCGTTTAGTCAAACAGGTAACCAAAACAAGCCCGATATGGGACTCGAACCCAAGGCCCTCAGATTAAAAGTCTGATGCTCTACCAACTGAGCTAACCGGGCAGCTAGTGCTTTCGTTGGAAATTAACCAATCGATATTTTTATCCTAAAAATAATTTTTGATTCAACGACAATGGAAGCAGGTCGAAAGTAACTTTCTCGTTAGGAGATTCAGCAAAAAAATTTTTAGCAACTTTTTTTTATTGAAAATTGCACATGCCTTCTAATCTCCTAAAATTAATTTCTCTTTCAGTGACAAAACTGTCAAGTCTTATATATTTGTCAAAGTGTTTATTTATGATCACTATTCAAGTATTCAAATAAGCATTCTTTACTGAATTTCCAGTTTAATATACAGGTAATCAAAACCTCCCGATATGGGACTCGAACCCATGGCCCTCAGATTAAAAGTCTGATGCTCTACCAACTGAGCTAACCGGGCACCTATGCAAGTGTTGTGAAATTAACGAATCAATGTTTTTTATCCTATGAATAATTTTTGATTCAACGACAATGGAAGCAGGTCGAAAGTAACCTTCTCGTTAGGAGATTGATTAAAAAATTTTTTACGAACGTATTTTTTTGAAAATTTCACATGCCTTCTAATCTCTTAAAAATAATTTATCTTTCAGCGACAAAGCTGTCAAGTCCGAATATGTTTTTTCAAAGTGTTTATTTCTGCCTCACGCATTCAATTATTGAAGTAAGTATCTTTACTGAATTTCCCGTATTAATCAAACAGGTAACCAAAAAAGCCCGATATGGGACTCGAACCCATGGCCCTCAGATTAAAAGTCTGATGCTCTACCAACTGAGCTAACCGGGCAGCTAGTGCTTTCGTTGGAAATTAACCAATCAATTTTTTATCCTAAAAATAATTTTTGATTCAACGACATGGAAGCAGGTCGAAAGTAACTTTCTCGTTAGGAGATTCAGCAAAAAAATTTTTAGCAACTTTTTTTATTGAAAATTGCACATGCCTTCTAATCTCTCTAAAAATTTCTCTTCAGTGACAAAACTGTCAGTCTTATATTATTGTCAAGTGTTTATTTATTGATCACTATTCAAGTATTCAAATAAGCATTCTTTACTGAATTTCCAGTTTAATACACAGGTAATCAAAACCAGCCCGATATGGGACTCGAAAACCCATGGCCCTCAGATTAAAAGTCTGATGCTCTAACCAACTGAGCTAACCGGGCACCTATGCTTTGTTGAAATTAAACCAATCAATATTTTTTATCCTATGAAAATTTTTTGATTCAACGACAATGGAAGCAGGTCGAAAGTAACTTCTCTTTAGGAGATTGATTAAAAAAATATTTTAGCACGTTTTTTTTGAAATTTCACATGCCTTCTAATCTCTTAAAAATAATTTATCTTTTCAGCGACAAAGCTGTCAAGTCCGATATTTTTCAAGGTGTTTATTTCTGCTCACGCATTCAATTATTGAAGTAAGTATTCTTTACTGAATTCCCGTTTAATCAAACAGGTAATCAAAAAAGCCCGATATGGACTCGAACCCATGGCCCTCAGATAAAAGCCTGATGCTCTAACAACTGAGCTAACCGGGCAGCTAGTGCTTTTTTGGGAAATTAACCAATCAATATTTTTTATCCTAAAAATAATTTTTGATTCAACGACAATGGAAGCAGGTCGAAAGTAACTTTCTCGTTAGGAGATTCAGCGAAAAAATTTTTAGCAACTTTTTTTTATTGAAAATTGCACATGCCTTCTAATCTCCTAAAAATAATTTCTTTTCAGTGACAAAACTGTCAAGTCTTATATATTTGTCAAAGTGTTATTTATTGATCACTATTCAAGTATTTCAAATAAGCATTCTTTACTGAATTTCCAGTTTAATATACAGGTAATCAAAACCAGCCCGATATGGGACTCGAACCCATGGCCTCAGATTAAAAAGTCTGATGCTCTACCAACTGAGCTAACGGCACCTATGCAAGTGTTGTGAAATTAACGAATCAATGTTTTTATCCTATGAATAATTTTTGATTCAACGACATGGAAGCAGGTCGAAAGTAACCTTCTCGTTAGGAGATTGATTAAAAATATTTTTACGAACGTATTTTTTTGAAAATTTCACATGCCTTCTAATCTCTTAAAAATAATTTATCTTTCAGCGACAAAGCTGTCAAGTCCGATATGTTTCAAAGTGTTTATTTCTGCTCAGCGCATTCAATTATTGAAGTAAGTATTCTTTACTGAATTTCCCGTTTTAATCAAACAGGTAATCAAAAAAGCCCGATATGGGACTCGAACCCATGGCCCTGAGATTAAAAGTCTGATGCTCTACCAACTGAGCTAACCGGGCAGCTAATGCTTTCGTTGGGAAATTAACCAATCAATATTTTTTATCCTAAAAATAATTTTTGATTCAACGACAATGGAAGCAGGTCGAAAGTAACTTTCTCGTTAGGAGATTCAGCAAAAAAAAATTTTTAGCAACGTATTTTTTTGAAAATTGCACATGCCTTCTAATCTCCTAAAAATAATTTCTCTTTCAGTGACAAAACTGTCAAGTCTTATATATTTGTCAAAGTGTTTATTTATGATCATATTCAAGTATTCAAATAAGCATTCTTTACTGAATTTCCAGTTTAATATACAGGTAATCAAAACCAGCCCGATATGGGACTCGAACCCATGGCCCTCAGATTAAAAGTCTGATGTTCTACCAACTGAGCTAACCGGGCACCTATGCAAGTGTTGTGAAATTAACCAATCAATGTTTTTTATCGTATGAATAATTTTTGATTCAACGACAGTGGAAGCAGGTCGAAAGTAAACTTCTCGTTAGGAGATTGATTAAAAAATATTTTTACGAACGTATTTTTTTGAAAATTTCACATGCCTTCTAATCTCTTAAAAATAATTTATCTTTCAGCGACAAAGCTGTCAAGTCCGATATGTTTTTCAAAGTGTTTATTTCTGCTCACGCATTCAATTATTGAAGTAAGTATTCTTTACTGAATTTCCCGTTTAATCAAACAGGTAACAAAACAAGCCCGATATGGGACTCGAACCCAAGGCCCTCAGATTAAAAGTCTGATGCTCTACCAACTGAGCTAACCGGGCAGCTAGTGCTTTCGTTGGAAATTAACCAATCGATATTTTTTATCCTAAAAATAATTTTTGATTCAACGACAATGGAAGCAGGTCGAAAGTAACTTTCTCGTTAGGAGATTCAGCAAAAAAATTTTTAGCAACTTTTTTTTATTGAAAATTGCACATGCCTTCTAATCTCCTAAAAATAATTTCTCTTTCAGTGACAAAACTGTCAAGTCTTATATATTTGTCAAAGTGTTTATTTATGATCACTATTCAAGTTTTCAAATAAGCATTCTTTACTGAATTTCCAGTTTAATATACAGGTAATCAAAACCAGCCCGATATGGGACTCGAACCCATGGCCCTCAGATTAAAAGTCTGATGCTCTACCAACTGAGCTAACCGGGAACCTATGCAAGTGTTGTGAAATTAACGAATCAATGTTTTTTATCCTATGAATAATTTTTGATTCAACGACAATGGAAGCAGGTCGAAAGTAACCTTCTCGTTAGGAGATTGATTAAAAAATATTTTTACGAACGTATTTTTTTGAAAATTTCACATGCCTTCTAATCTCTTAAAAATAATTTATCTTTCAGCGACAAAGCTGTCAAGTCCGATATATTTTTCAAAGTGTTTATTTCTGCTCACGCATTCAATTATTGAAGTAAGTATTCTTTACTGAATTTCCCGTTTAATCAAACAGGTAACAAAACAAGCCCGATATGGGACTCGAACCCATGGCCCTCAGATTAAAAGTCTGATGCTCTACCAACTGAGCTAACCGGGCAGCTAGTGCTTTCGTTGGAAATTAACCAATCAATATTTTTTATCCTAAAAATAATTTTTGATTCAACGACAATGGAAGCAGGTCGAAAGTAACTTTCTCGTTAGGAGATTCAGCAAAAAAATTTTTAGCAACTTTTTTTTATTGAAAATTGCACATGCCTTCTAATCTCCTAAAAATAATTTCTCTTTCAGTGACAAAACTGTCAAGTCTTATATATTTGTCAAAGTGTTTATTTATGATCACTATTCAAGTATTCAAATAAGCATTCTTTACTGAATTTCCAGTTTAATATACAGGTAATCAAAACCAGCCCGATATGGGACTCGAACCCATGGCCCTCAGATTAAAAGTCTGATGCTCTACCAACTGAGCTAACCGGGCACCTATGCAAGTGTTGTGAAATTAACGAATCAATGTTTTTTATCCTATGAATAATTTTTGATTCAACGACAATGGAAGCAGGTCGAAAGTAACCTTCTCGTTAGGAGATGATTAAAAAATATTTTTACGAACGTATTTTTTTGAAAATTTCACATGCCTTCTAATCTCTTAAAAATAATTTATCTTTCAGCGACAAAGCTGTCAAGTCCGATATATTTTTCAAAGTGTTTATTTCTGCTCACGCATTCAATTATTGAAGTAAGTATTCTTTACTGAATTTCCCGTTTAATCAAACAGGTAATCAAAACAAGCCCGATATGGGACTCGAACCCATGGCCCTCAGATTAAAAGTCTGATGCTCTACCAACTGAGCTAACCGGGCAGCTAATGCTTTCGTTGGGAAATTAACCAATCAATATTTTTTATCCTAAAAATAATTTTTGATTCAACGACAATGGAAGCAGGTCGAAAGTAACTTTCTCGTTAGGAGATTCAGCAAAAAAATTTTTAGCAACTTTTTTTTGAAAATTGCACATGCCTTCTAATCTCCTAAAAATAATTTCTCTTTCAGTGACAAAACTGTCAAGTCTTATATATTTGTCAAAGTGTTTATTTATGATCACTATTCAAGTATTCAAATAAGCATTCTTTACTGAATTTCCAGTTTAATATACAGGTAATCAAAACCAGCCCGATATGGGACTCGAACCCATGGCCCTCAGATTAAAAGTCTGATGCTCTACCAACTGAGCTAACCGGGCACCTATGCAAGTGTTGTGAAATTAACGAATCAATGTTTTTTATCCTATGAATAATTTTTGATTCAACGACAATGGAAGCAGGTCGAAAGTAACCTTCTCGTTAGGAGATTGATTAAAAAATATTTTTACGAACGTATTTTTTTGAAAATTTCACATGCCTTCTAATCTCTTAAAAATAATTTATCTTTCAGCGACAAAGCTGTCAAGTCCGATATGTTTTTCAAAGTGTTTATTTCTGCTCACGCATTCAATTATTGAAGTAAGTATTCTTTACTGAATTTCCCGTTTAATCAAACAGGTAACCAAAACAAGCCCGATATGGGACTCGAACCCATGGCCCTCAGATTAAAAGTCTGATGCTCTACCAACTGAGCTAACCGGGCAGCTAGTGCTTTCGTTGGGAAATTAACCAATCAATATTTTTTATCCTAAAAATAATTTTTGATTCAACGACAATGGAAGCAGGTCGAAAGTAACTTTCTCGTTAGGAGATTCAGCAAAAAATTTTTTAGCAACTTTTTTTTATTGAAAATTGCACATGCCTTCTAATCTCCTAAAAATAATTTCTCTTTCAGTGACAAAACTGTCAACTCTTATATATTTCAAAGTGTTTATTTATGATCATATTCAAGTATTTCAAATAAGCATTCTTTACTGAATTTCCAGTTTAATATACAGGTAATCAAAACCAGCCCGATATGGGACTCGAACCCATGGCCCTCAGATTAAAAGTCTGATGCTCTACCAACTGAGCTAACCGGGCACCTATGCAAGTGTTGTGAAATTAACCAAACAATGTTTTTTATCCTATGAATAATTTTTGATTCAACGACAATGGAAGCAGGTCGAAAGTAACCTTCTCGTTAGGAGATTGATTAAAAAATATTTTTACGAACGTATTTTTTTGAAAATTTCACATGCCTTCTAATCTCTTAAAAATAATTTATCTTTCAGCGACAAAGCTGTCAAGTCCGATATGTTTTTCAAAGTGTTTATTTCTGCTCACGCATTCAATTATTGAAGTAAGTATTCTTTACTGAATTTCCCGTTTAGTCAAACAGGTAACCAAAACAAGCCCGATATTGGACTCGAACCCAAGGCCCTCAGATTAAAAGTCTGATGCTCTACCAACTGAGCTAACCGGGCAGCTTGTGCTTTCGTTGGAAATTAACCAATCAATATTTTTTATCCTAAAAATAATTTTTGATTCAACGACAATGGAAGCAGGTCGAAAGTAACTTTCTCGTTAGGAGATTCAGCAAAAAAATTTTTAGCAACTTTTTTTTATTGAAAATTGCACATGCCTTCTAATCTCCTAAAAATAATTTCTCTTTTCGTGACAAAACTGTCAAGTCTTATATATTTGTCAAAGTGTTTATTTATGATCACTATTCAAGTTTTCAAATAAGCATTCTTTACTGAATTTCCAGTTTAGTATACAGGTAATCAAAACCAGCCCGATATGGGACTCGAACCCATGGCCCTCAGATTAAAAGTCTGATGCTCTACCAACTGAGCTAACCGGGCACCTATGCAAGCGTTGTGAAATTAACGAATCAATGTTTTTTATCCTATAAATAATTTTTGATTCAACGACAATGGAAGCAGGTCGAAAGTAACCTTCTCGTTAGGAGATTGATTAAAAAATATTTTTACGGACGTATTTTTTTGAAAATTTCACATGCCTTCTAATCTCTTAAAAATAATTTATCTTTCAGCGACAAAGCTGTCAAGTCCGATATATTTTTCAAAGTGTTTATTTCTGCTCACGCATTCAATTATTGAAGTAAGTATTCTTTACTGAATTTCCCGTTTAATCAAACAGGTAACCAAAACAAGCCCGATATGGGACTCGAACCCATGGCCCTCAGATTAAAAGTCTGATGCTCTACCAACTGAGCTAACCGGGCAGCTAATGCTTTCGTTGGGAAATTAACCAATCAATATTTTTTATCCTAAAAATAAATTTTGATTCAACGACAATGGAAGCAGGTCGAAAGTAACTTTCTCGTTAGGAGATTCAGCGAAAAAATTTTTAGCAACTTTTTTTTATTGAAAATTGCACATGCCTTCTAATCTTAAAAATAATTTCTCTTTCAGTGACAAAACTGTCAAGTCTTACATATTTGTCAAAGTGTTTATTTATGATCACTATTCAATTATTCAAATAAGCATTCTTTACTGAATTTCCAGTTTAATATACAGGTAATCAAAACCAGCCCGATATGGGACTCGAACCCATGGCCCTCAGATTAAAAGTCTGATGCTCTACCAACTGAGCTAACCGGGCACCTATGCAAGTGTTGTGAAATTAACGAATCAATGTTTTTTATCCTATGAATAATTTTTGATTCAACGACAATGGAAGCAGGTCGAAAGTAACCTTCTCGTTAGGAGATTGATTAAAAAATATTTTTACGACCGTATTTTTTTGAAAATTTCACATGCCTTCTAATCTCTTAAAAATAATTTATCTTTCAGCGACAAAGCTGTCAAGTCCGATATATTTTTCAAAGTGTTTATTTCTGCTCACGCATTCAATTATTGAAGTAAGTATTCTTTACTGAATTTCCCGTTTAATCAAACAGGTAATCAAAACAAGCCCGATATGGGACTCGAACCCATGGCCCTCAGATTAAAAGTCTGATGCTCTACCAACTGAGCTAACCGGGCAGCTAATGCTTTCGTTGGGAAATTAACCAATCAATATTTTTTATCCTAAAAATAATTTTTGATTCAACGAAAATGGAAGCAGGTCGAAAGTAACTCTCTCGTTAGGAGATTCAGCGAAAAAATTTTTAGCAACTTTTTTTTATTGAAAATTGCACATGCCTTCTAATCTCCTAAAAATAATTTCTCTTTCAGTGACAAAACTGTCAAGTCTTACATATTTGTCAAAGTGTTTATTTATGATCACTATTCAATTATTCAAATAAGCATTCTTTACTGAATTTCCAGTTTAATATACAGGTAATCAAAACCAGCCCGATATGGGACTCGAACCCATGGCCCTCAGATTAAAAGTCTGATGCTCTACCAACTGAGCTAACCGGGCACCTATGCAAGTGTTGTGAAATTAACGAATCAATGTTTTTTATCCTATGAATAATTTTTGATTCAACGACAATGGAAGCAGGTCGAAAGTAACCTTCTCGTTAGGAGATTGATTAAAAAATATTTTTACGACCGTATTTTTTTGAAAATTTCACATGCCTTCTAATCTCTTAAAAATAATTTATCTTTCAGCGACAAAGCTGTCAAGTCCGATATATTTTTCAAAGTGTTTATTTCTGCTCACGCATTCAATTATTGAAGTAAGTATTCTTTACTGAATTTCCCGTTTAATCAAACAGGTAATCAAAACAAGCCCGATATGGGACTCGAACCCATGGCCCTCAGATTAAAAGTCTGATGCTCTACCAACTGAGCTAACCGGGCAGCTAATGCTTTCGTTGGGAAATTAACCAATCAATATTTTTTATCCTAAAAATAAATTTTGATTCAACGACAATGGAAGCAGGTCGAAAGTAACTTTCTCGTTAGGAGATTTAAAAAAAAATATTTTTAGCTACGTATTTTTTTGAAAATTGCACATTCCTTCTAATCTCCTAAAAATAATTTCTCTTTTAGCGCCAAGCTGTAGAGTCTTATATATTTGTGAAAGTGTTTATTTCTGCTCACCGTTCAATTATTGAAATAAGTATTCTTTACTGAATTTCCCGTTTCATTTAACAGGTAATCAAAATCAGCGCGATATGGGACTCGAACCCATGGCACTCAGAATAAAAGTCTGATGCTCTACCAACTGAGCTAACCGGGCAGCTAGTGCTTTCGTTGGGAAATTAACCAACCAGTAATGTTTATCGTAAAAATAATTTTTCATTCAACGAAAATGCAAGCTGGTCAAAAGTAACTTTCTCTTTAGGAGATTTAGCAAAAAATATTTTAAGACACGCATTTTTTTACTGAATTTCCCGTTTAATCAAACAGGTAATCGAAACCAGCCCGATATGGGGCTCAGACCGATGGTCCGCAGATTAAGAGTCTGATGCTCTTCCAACTGAGCTTTTTCTGGGACACTATATACAATGACTGAATGGGAATAGCACGGCAGCCGAATCGCAAAAGCGTAGGTTTGATTCCTGCCAGTGGTCCGTTTGTTGACTCATTTTTGTATTGCAACTGTTCCTGCATGGCTTGAAGTTGAATTGTGTATAATTTCACTCGAAATTAAGACCCTTTAGACCTCTAGAATTTACCTACATCCAGTGAAGTGCTAAAATGGATTTACCCTCACCTATTCTTAAACTTAACCATGCACCGTTTTAATCTAAACGGGCTTGATGCGACAGGTGTCACCCGAAATTTATGACTTGCGAATTATATGAGTGTCGCAGTTCTGGGCATGCGCTAATGCGCGCATAAGTTACATTCTGTTCATAAATTTCGCAAGTTATTTACTGTTCAACACGTATTCTCTGACTTGTCTCAAAGGAAGATTTTTCGAAGTTTTTAAGTGGAAGAAGTGCTGCACTTCCTAAAATCAGGATGCCAGGAGCCTACTCATGTTGCCACTCTTGACAAAGTCGCAAGGAAAAAATATCCACACGCTGTCTCAATTCTCGAGAAACTTTAAATATGAAGGTATGTCTAGCCGTTTAATAACTTCGCATTGAGGCATCGCATCATAATAATATGTGATATGATCTTATAAATTTTATTATTGTTATTTGTTTTACAGCTCTTATTATTCATTTGGCTTTTATAGCTCTTATTATTCATTTTGCTTTTATAGCTCTTAATATTCATTTAGTTTATATATATATTTACCCTTTATGTACACATTCAATAGTGAATCTGATAATTTGCAAGAAAGATGATGGTGAAGAATGGCTTGGGTCGATAATCAATAGTATTTTAGCTATTTAAATAGCCTTCAATGATGTTTTATCTGTCCTAGTAAATCTTTGCTTTACACTTATTCTCGATTAACTACCGAAACTTACTGAAGTTTTGATCAAAATTAGCCAAAACCGTTTGTCGCACTCGGCCGCTGAATCATAGATTTCGCAATCGTCATGTTTTTCGCTCGAGTAAGCCGCTAAATTCGTGACTCGTCTCGCGTGGTCATGTATTTCGTAATGGTCATGAATTTCGCTTGACACCGGCTCCAGATCTCTAATCTGTCGCCTTAACCATTCGGCCACGACTACATCGATGCACGTTTTTTTTGGCACGCGCGCTTTTTTATGCATGATTTTTTGCCCGAATATAATAACATGTTGATTGTATAATCTTTCGGAATGTGATTTTTCACTGTGAAGAAAAACTCTGAAAAACAATAAATTATAAAACTACAGCTTGGGACCTAAAATTATGAAAGACAATCCCAAATTATAAATACTAAGTGTAATCAAAATTACAGCGGACAACGGGCAATTTTGTAGCCATACCCAAAATTTTTACAACCGGTCCCAGATGCAGCTCTGTCTCCGGCGCATGTTTTTGTTTTAATATAATTGTGTTTGTGTCTCGCGGAAGGACACCAGCGAAGCCACAGCCACGGGTTTCCCTCGCTTTAGGGGTATGTCAAGAATTTAATAATATCATATATTGCAACTGAAATGTAAAAACCCAAAACTTGTTTTCACTTATTTTTCTAAGAGGACTATATAGCTAGTTACTTGCCACAATAGCTGGAGGAGGGCCGCGCAAACCTGAGCCTAGTTTTACGAATTGCGTTTAGTGAATTTACGTTATATAACTTTGAATATAGGTTCGAAAAGGTTATTCTCCATTACCGTTCGCTTTACCCGTGCGGGCGTTTCGGCCTTTGAAATTCTGCTCATGGGATCGTCACGGGCGTTAAAAAACAAAGCGCGCGGACCTTTCCTAAAATTTGTGGGTAGACGCAAGGAATGGGCGAAACGTAGGTCCGTGCTCAGACTAGGAAGAGAACTTGTGTTTTTCGACACCAATACAACGATATTGTTTAGGACTACGAATGCGATCATATTCCAGTCTCGCACCCATGCGCATTTATCAAAAACGAAGGTAGTTCATATAGTTTGCATTCAGCTATGTAGAGATCTTTATAACCTTTGTTTTCCTAAAAAGCGCCTGGGTTTGTACCAGGCTGATCATATTCACTTTCAATTTAATTAAAATATACGAGAAAACTATATTAAAATTATTCGAAGTGAAATTATTAGAAGTAACCCGAGTTTAGCAATATACTTTTATTTAAGAAATTATTTTGCAATTCAAAGCCCGGTTTTCATTACACTAGATCAATGATTATTGGTCCAGCACGGCACGGCTGTGGTGAAATTAGTTAGGAACGACACCAATAGACCTTTCCCCTTTTAGCTTTCAAACGCGCGATGCCGACGGTAGTTCATTCTCAATGTCAATTTGAGTTGTGATTTCGCCATGATCAGGAGCGTTGTTTTGTCGCCGAAAAGAAGCAAAAAGAACCGCCAACGTTTTCTTACAAAAAAATCGCTGCTAAGCAGAGTGATATCGCTACTCAAAGTTGCTTGATAATCAACTACCGTCACGCATTGCGCGCTTGAAAGCTAAAAAGGGGAAATGTCTATAAAAAACAATGCCAACTCAGTCGTTTACAATTGTTCATTTAGACATTCAGTTTCTTTTTAGGCGATTTGACAATGTTTTCTGTCATTCTGTTGTTAATTTGAAAGTTTTAGTAAGAAGAAACCTTTCAAAATTTTACCTTCAACTAGCTGAAATCAGTTTATTCCCTTGTAAAAGTTGCAAATCAAGTTACATGCACTCTGTATATCATTTATATGGTAGACTGCGGTTAGCGGGTTTCTTGGACCCAATTTCTTACCACGGCACAGCTAAATATGATTGCCTCACACCAATTTTGAATATCCGTGACTGCATTGTTGATTTTACTTGGTGCGAATTTCTGCACGGATCCTGATATTGTAAAATCGTCTACAAATTTGAATTGATCATCAACACTGGTGGTACTTTGGTCATTGATAATTAGAACAAAAAGCCATGCAGGGACCAAGTTTTGTTCCCTGCGGAACATCAACAGGGACATTCATTCCCCCATTCTGAAAAGCTCAAAGTCTTCTCCAAGTTTAAATCGTTGTTGTCTGTTGGTCAGGAAACCGTTTCCGCAGGGGCGCCGTGGGTGTGCTAATGTAGGGGTGGCCAAAGGCAACATTATTCCGACCAGCACGTTTTTTTCCGACATCTTTATAAGAAAAAAGTAACGAATATTGATAAAACTGACAGGGGGTTTTGGGCAAGGACGCGCATGCAGTTGCTATGACAAAGATCACGAGCTACGTCTACTAATTTAAATTGACGCTTCATGCACAATGAATATGACAGATAAATATTCACGTTTTACATACGCTTTTCAATTGAATAGTTGAATAATTTTTGATACAGTTAACTGTTTGTGGGAAAACTGTATTACAGAGATTTCTAATCCACGTGCATTAACAAATAACGCGATACGTTATTTCAGGATACTCTATTACAGCTTTGTAATCTTAGTGGATGAGCATACAGCGTATTCTATACGCAACATTTGTAAACATAATACAAATATAAACATATTCGCAATTGCTTCAATCCTCTCATCAGTTTAGTTCTTCCGCTGTACTATCGTGGTACCTTATCTTTGTATAAACTTCAGGAAGCGTTTGACTTAAAGTACTAACTTGAAAAGGATTTGCTGTAGCTCCAGCATTCTGATACGGAACATGCTGGTGTTTCTTTAGACGGTCACCATATAATGCAATAAACTGTATAAACTCACTGAACAATAAATGCGGTCGAAGATACATCGCCATTCATGATTTTATCGCGCCAATCTCCGACATTTCGAAAATTACATTCCTTGCGTAATGTTATATTAATAGAAAATATGTTTTTCGGAAACCGGAAACGTTCGGAAGAAACAGCTAGTTTAGCCTGCGCGACAACAGCATAATAAAAAATTGGGGTAGTGTTGTACCGTATAATATTAGAAGTAACCGCGTCTATTTTCTGATAGTTCAAATACTTTTGAGTTGTTCAGCATAACACAGCCACAAATGCAAAAATAACTTAGTCTCTGTTATGATTGATATACTCCGACAACATGCAATGTTCGTAAATTTCCGACAGGTTTTAATCCTGGGGGGGGCCATGGCCCCCTCTGGCCCCCCCGGCCAAGGCGCCCCTGCAGTTTTGAGAGGATCGGCGTAAGAGAGATGGGGCGGAGTTGTTGTTTTATGTGCTCAACTGGTGTCGATTTTGGAATTGGGACTACGTTGGCTAGTTTCCAAATCATTGGAAGTTGGTTCTTCTTAAATGAGCAGTTCAGTATTTTTGTGACAGGTAACGCCAAAAGAACCGCATTTTCTTTAAGCAGCCAAGGAGGAATGTCATCGGAGCACTTGCTTTGGAGGGATTAAGAGATTTTAGGCATCTGTACA